TCAAATGGCACATTTTTGAAATTTTTAAGGTACTATAAAAATGTTTTTCTCAAAAATTCCACACAATGACTAATGCATATATGTTCAGGACAAAAATGGGTAATATCACTATTTGAGGTGCTACAAACATATTTTTCTCAATAATTCCATACAATGACTGATGTATATGTAATCAAGGCATTGTTGACTTCATAATTGTTTAAAAAAAATAATAAATAACCACAAAGAAAGAATAAAATTTTATATGATTGTCTGATTTATGTTTTCTGTTTGTTTTTTGTTCAAAAAACTAAAACACTTTGAACCTGTAGACTACTGCCTAATAGTCTTATTATTGCCATTTGATGACAATTGCTCATATACTGTAAGCCTAAATAAGTATATTTATTGTTTTGAACAAAGGTTAAATGTTATTTTACAAGTTTCAAAAAGTGCCCCCAATTGTTTTTGAAATGCCCCTGGATTTCAGTCAGTGGGGGCAAAAATTTCCCCCTAAAAAAATATTAGGGCTGCAACAACGAATCGATAAAATTAGATTATTAAAAGAGTTGGCAATGAATTTCATTATCAATTCGTTACTATTACGCCACTCAATAAGTCGTGGAGATGTTTGAGTATAAAAAAAAATAAAAAATAAAAAAAAGTTGAGCGCCATTCGCGCCGCCGGGGACTATTTGTGTACATTCGCGCTGGACGCCCCGGAGAGGGGGCGTGGCTTATCGCCCTGAAAGCCGGTCAACTGTCCGCCATTAACCATGGAAAAAATAACCTATTTCTGCTTAGTACGTGTTGTGGAAGTCACAGATATCCCGGGAAACTAAACGCCGTCATGTCTGGTTCATAACATTGTCCAGAGGAGCTCTGTGGATTTTATCGAGGTGTATTCACTGTGTCTAGCAAGCCACACGTTGCCGTTTACTACAGCTGTATGAACACAAAATAAACTGATTTGGCTGTGATTGAATGGCAATAAACCGACAAAAAGGGACTCCGAAATAACTACGTATTGATGCCGATTTGTTCAACAGCAGGGTTAGTCACTACAGAATCCTACTTTTGTTCCGTTTTTGAAGTGAGGCACGTAACGTCCCTCCAGTAGCTCTTCTGGTGCTTACTCGTTATCCAGCTTGACAAGCATGACAAGTTAGCGTTAGCTCATTAATAACAGTAGTAAAGCAGGGGTGGTATAGTTTGCAAGACTAAAGACACGTTTTTATTCACTTGCCTTTTTTGGCCAATTAATATCCGATTCATCGAAAAAATAATCTCCAAATGAATCGATTATTTAAATAATCGTTAGTTGCAGCCCTAAAAAATATGTAAATGTCCTACCCTGCTTCACACCCTGGACACAAGCTGTTAAACTGGAGGTCGCTGCTGCTCGGCGGCGGCCGGAACGGGGAGTCGCTGAAGCCCAGCGGTAACGGGGAATCGCTCCTTCTTCCTGTGTTTCTTCTTCTTAGGGGTAAATTGGCAACTTAGTTCGAGGTTAGTCTTCTGGAAGCTCAGAAGCCCTCCCCTGGCCAAGCGGGTTCCCCAAAACTGGTCTGCTGAGTCTTTCATGGTCAGATCGTTCTGTCACGTTCTCTCAGGTTCAGCTAAGACTCAAGCGCAGACACTGGAGACGAGGTGAAGTTGGAAATAAGGTATTCTACTTGTCACCCAAAAAAGTCAAACAAAAACTTAAAGCGACTCCAACAGGGAGCGGGCAAAAATCCAAAAAGAATACAAAAAGGTAAAGTCACAAAAAAAAGCAAAGGTACAAACCAGGAGCAAACACAAGTACCAAACGCTGGAGCACCGAGCAGACACGAGGGAGACACAATACTGGAACAGACAGGGGAACGAACAAAGATGATCTGACAATCAGAACAGTGAAAGCACGGGAGTATATATGTGTGGGGTGATGAGAAGATTGAAGGCAGCTGGGTGGACTGGGCAGGTGAGTAGGATGAGTGTAATCAGGGGACACAGACACAGGAACACAGGGGTAAAGCCTAAACCCATGTACACATGTATAATACAGGGAGAGCTTTCCAAGCCAAGCTGCGCCTGTGGGAGACTCAGATGCAGCAAGGAAACTTGGGTCACTTTCCGTGTTGCCAAACACTGACAAACCGTGTCTCCACCGCTGTGTTCCCGACTGCGCATTTTGCTGATAAACTGCAAATTGCCGATTTTGCAGTTCAGAAATTTAAATTTCAACTGCTCCGCAATTCGTTTGCTGTTGACGTGGAAAGAGCACCTGTGCACTTCCAAATGGAGCTGATAGCCCTCCAGTGTAATGACACACTCAAGGCAAAGTATGACTCTGTGGGCGCTGCACAGGTTCCAAGCTTAACCCCCCAAAACGATGGCTCAACGCCGCCTACGTGCTGCTCAAATGCTCTGCATGTTTCGAAGCACATACCTGTGTGAGCAGCTTTTCTCAGTGAGGGTTTCCACAGCACAGAACTTAACCCCAGAGATTAATGAACTGGCAGCCAAGAAAATATGCCAGACATCTGGCTCTGGTACATATGCATAAAATAATCATTATTGCCCTTTATGCCTCCTGGCATGTAGGACAGCAACAAAAATCTTCCACTCCGGTCTGTCCAGTCGCTGGATGGTGCCCCATGAGTGGTTTAGGCTCTGCATCTCCTCTGCATCAGTTCTTCTCCATGTGTCTCTTGGTCAGCCTCTTTTTCTTTTCCCTTCTGGTGTCCAATGTAAGGCTGTTCTTGTAATACCAGCAGGGTCTTTTCTCAACACATGTCCTATCCATCTCTATCTTCTTCTGATTAGGATGGTCTCCATGCATTCTTGGTGGCATTTGTCATACAGTTCTTCATTTGAAAATGTGAAGTATTCGCCTTAAGGTTGTTAGTCTGTTGAGATCTTCTTGTGTCATTCTCTAGCATTCAGAACCATACAAGAGGGTGGATAAAACACAGCTCTGATACAATTTAACTTTGGTGTTGATGGTGTACTGCTGTGATCTCAATATTTTATTCAGTACTTTGACAGTGTTCCTTGCGTAATTAAGACGATTCTTGATGTCTTTACCTGCATAAAAGAATGTAGCCAAAAAACATGTATTCTTTTTGCACTTTGTCCAATATCCCTTCTGTCCTGTTTATTAAATGTTGACCCTGTTTGGCCCTCAACATAGTCCCAGTTTTTAATTTTGGCCCTCTCTGTGATTGAGTTTGACACCCCTGCTCTAGAGCAACAACACAAGGAAAAATCTCTGGAGAAACTACACTGACTGAATTGGAATTAATCCTAAACACATGCTACCACTGCAGCAGACTGAATCTGGCAATGATTGACTAGAGATCTTGGGTACATACAGTATACAGAGCCTGCAAGCCTAATTACAAGCAGGTGAGGAGGGTGAAAGCTGCCACGCCCCCACAGCCAAACACACACACAGGGAGACAGACAAAACATGGAACAGAAGAAGAGAGGGAAAGACATCGGGAAAAAAACCCAGAGTTACGACTATGACTCTTCTTTGGAAGACATTGTGTCTTCAGACAGCATCCTGATATTGACAGAGACAGATGGACGCTTCTTCACATGCAGGTTTATGTAAGTCAACGTCCAGGAATACATCCTTTGCTACAGTACCTGGCAGTGTTACATCGCCTATTATAACACTTTCTTTTGTCCATTCCGTTCTCCCTCTGGACATACGGGGGTAGGACACATAACCTTTGATGGTGTCATTGGGTCATTCATTTTGCCAAATCACAATTCTAATGAACACACGCTGATTTACACAGAAGTCAACTCTGGTCCTTTACACAGTTATCTGAAGTTAGAAGTGTTTGCTAATTCTAATGTGCCCGTACTGTAGGAAAAAATGGATTAGAATATTAAAAAGTTATCTTTCATTACGTTGTTGAAGGAAAAAATTCCTTCAGGTCCAATTCTGTGGCTGGGGTTAGATGACTTTTATTCACTGCGCAGTGGAGACAGAAGTTCACAGCACAGCTGTAGAATTCTCTCTGACCAGAGTGAGTTCTGGCCATGATTGCATACAGGGTTACAGGATATAACAGTTAAACAAAAGGTGTGGGTTGGGCTAAGCTTCTCAGGAAGGTCAAGGGACATTGAAACTAGCTGCACCCAAGATGAGTATTCGTTTTCAGTACAGGGAATAAGTCGGGTCTGGGAACCCAGCTCAGAAGTCTGTAGTAATGGATTTGCATGGGCTCAATACAGGTCTGTTTTACAGAGCAAAAGGTGATTTGATACATGAAGGTGTGACGTCATACAGGTCTGGCCCGGGGCTCTCTTCACACTACACCAAAAGGTTTCACTCACAGAGGTTTGTTCATTAATGTCAAAAAGTATCTGTCTGCACAGAGGTTGCTGTTACACAGCAACAGCAGGAATACACAAAGGCAATTTAAAAGAGTGCAGCTAATACAATGTAAAGATCTTCTACAAGGCCTAATGTGAGCAAACAATCTGCACTTCACAATCAACATGTCCGGCTGTCTCGTGGATTGTGCATCACCTCAGGCTCAGGTGAGCCTGGAGGCCTAGACTTCGGGAGACTTCCCATAATGCAATGACCTCCTCTCCATGTGCATGTTTCTAAGCAACCTCTTCTCCTCCGTCTCTCTCTCCTCCCTCCTTCGATCCCTTTCTGCAGCTATTTCTGCCTCAATCTTGATTGCAAGCCACCTATGTCTCAACACCCGCTGCTACTAGTATTATTACTTGCCATATTCTCATCATTTGTATTCCTTCTGTTTCTTAATAGTATTATTACAGAAACGATGATGTTATCCATTGAAATCCCGGCCCTGCAGTGATACGGGACTGTCCTGTCAAGAACAGAGTACAAACAGACCTAACACAAAGCAGGAAGACATACAGGCACTTTGAATGATACGCATACATACACACACGCACACACGGTTTAGTGGAAGGAGGCGGAGCTGTACTGGAAAGAGGGGGAGTCAGCAACTCATTTCCTTGTTTATAACTCAAAGCAGCTCAGAGCAACTGGTGAGCTGCGGCCGACACAAGTCTGTGTACGAGGATTAATACGACTTCAAAAGGATTTTTGGGCTTTTCTCCAACATTTCTTGAACTCCTTCAGGTAAAGTCAATCGTGTTTACCCGGTTTACACAAGCACCATTAGCACAGACAGGAATTGTGAAATATAGTGTATACTGAACATACATAATTGTACTTACAAATATATTTCAGTTCATCAAGTACAACATATATAATGGATATGTTTAAAGATTATATAAGATTTGTGTAATGTGAAGACGTGTAGTAATTTCACTTTCACTTTTGTTCTCAGAGTATCACCATGTCAGCTGCCAGCTGTCTGCTGTCTGAAGAGCAGTTTTTGTGCTCCATCTGTCTCGATGTTTTTACTAGTCCAGTCACTATACCATGTGGACACAACTTCTGCAAAGACTGCATCACACAGCACTGGAACATTAACAGTGTTCAGTTCCGGTGTCCCATGTGTAAAAAGCATTTTAAAACTCGCCCTGAGCTGCCCGTCAATACTTTCATATCCGAGATGGCTGCAGAGTTCAGACAGTCGGCTGAAAAGAAACAAAACGAGGACTCGGTCATTGCCAAACCAGGGGAAGTCCCCTGTGACATCTGCTCCGGCCTCAAACTGAAGGCTCTGAAGTCGTGTTTGACGTGTTTCGCCTCCTACTGCGGTATTCACCTGGAGCCTCATATGACAGCCGGCCCCCTGAAAAGACATTCGCTGACTGATCCTGTGGCAAACATGGAGGCCAGGGTGTGTACCAGGCACAGAAAAACACTGGAGCTGTTCTGCAAGACTGACCAGACATGTGTGTGCTCGCTCTGCACTGTCTCGGAACACATGGCACACAACATCGCTGCTCTGAAAGATGAATATGAAGTAAGGAAAGCGGAGCTGGAGCAGGAAGAGGCTGCAATCCGGCAGATGATACAGGAGAGGAAGCTCAAGATCCAGAAAACTAGACGCTTAAAAATGCACAGTCAGGAAGATGCCGAGAGAGAGATAGCAGACGGTGTTCGTATCTTCACCAGTCTGATGCAGACGGCCGAGAGAGACCTGAACGAGATCATTGAGATGATTGAAGAGAGGAAGAAGACGACGGAGGAACAGGCCGACAGCTTCATCAAAGAACTGGAACAAGAAATCTCTGTATTGGTGAAGAGAACTGCCGAAGTGCAGCAGCTCTCACTTACTCAAGACCATCTTCAACTCCTCCAGAGCTTCACACCCATGAACAGCGCTCTATGCACCAAGGACTGGACGGAGGTCAGCCTCTGTCTGCCATCATACGAGGGGACTGTGGTGAACGCTGTGGTTGAGCTGGAGGAGACGCTCAGCAGGGAGAAGCAGCAGCTGCTTCATGAGGCCAGGATGAAGAGGGTCCAGCAGTACGCTGTGGATCTGATCCTTGAACATCGTACTGCTAATCCCTGGCTCGTCCTGTCCGAGGATGGGAAACAAGTGTGGTGTGGTGAGGTGAGGCGAGACCTGCCAGACAACGCAGAGAGATTTTCTCTTTATGCCAATGTATTGGCACAGCAGAGTTTCTCCACTGGAAGGTTTTACTACGAGGTCCAGGTTACAGGGAAGACCGACTGGACCCTGGGAGTGGTCAGAGGGTCAGTGAACAGGAAGGGAATAATACCACTGAGCCCTGTGAATGGCTACTGGGCTGTGGGTCTGAGGAACGGAAACGAGTACTTGACTCTTGCCAGCCCTGTTGTCAGCCTCAGTCTGATCTCAAGGCCTCAGACAGTGGGGGTGTTTGTGAGTTACGAGGAGGGTCTGGTCTCCTTTTATGATGTGGACGCTGCGGTTCATCTCAACTCCTTCACTGGCTGCTGCTTCATTGAGGAACTCAGTCCCTTCTTCAGTCCCGGTCTTCATCACGGTGGCACGAACTCCGCCCCTCTGACAATCTCACCGGTCACCCCCACTGACTAGATTTGATTATTCTTTTAGTCATTTGAGAAGAGGAAGTCAAAGCATCAAAGCCACATTAACTGAGTTGAAAGCACTAACAGGCAGACACTCAACGAACAAACTATCATCTCATCAAATGCGTATGCACTTATTCATGTTTTTGTATTCATATTGTTCTATTTTTGTATGTATAGTGAAGGAGTTTTGTGTTGCTGAAATCATTCCCTCTGCCATGCTGGCTGTTACGATATCGCTTTAGTGCTTCCACAGTAAGTGACGGGAGGGAGGGCTGTGGATTTTATCCCACGTCACTTACATTGGACAGGATATGTAAGGATATTCAGATAATTCATAAAACATAAAACAACTATTATCTGTGTAAAGATATAGTGGAGTAATGTTTACCTCATCAAAGAATGATGTCACTTTCTCTGTGTGTGTGTGTGTGTGTGTGTGTGTGTGTGTGTGTGTGTGTGTTATCAGAGCTTGGTGTGCCTTTAAGGTCATGTGAGAGTGCTGGTTAGCTCTGCTTGTGGCCCCCAGTCGAACACCGTTAGCTCTGTTAGCACCATTTGTTGCTAGCTGCTGGCTCAGCTGTCCTCTTGCCGAGAGCCATGCGGAGGCAATAGACGTGAACTCTGTATATAGTACCTTTAATGTCCAGTATGGACAGAAGGGATGATTATTACAGCAAGCAAACACTTTCTTTCTTTGTATAATGTGGGAAACTAACACTTGTTTTAAGACAGGCTTAAATTATTAGCCGACCCTTTAGTGCAGCATGGTCTCAGCGTCTGACTCTCATGCTGCCTCTTTATGCCTTAAACAATATAAAGACAGTGATTAACTTGTATTGTGATATTTAATGGTACACACTGTCTAGGAGAAACGGTTATCTTTGAGTCTCCAATATGTTATTTTGTAAAACTCAGGCTCTGTGTTATTGGTTAAGTTGTGGTGACGTTCAGATGGACATCTGCCGGATCACCGTCAGACATGTCTCCTGTGTCTTTTACACTCATTTAGTGTCACACAATCGTAGATAGAGCATTGCTTGAATGTTCAACACCATTTTGACACGTTTACACCTCCATGATCAATTCTTGTTTGATTTGATGAAAACGTTGTCGCTGCAGTGATGTACAGGTGTACTCCAGGACACTATGACATCACTGTTGGGTGTGGTTACAGGAGCAACAGATGGAACTTTCAGCCAGAAAGGCGAGTGAAACACAGATGTTCAGCCTGGTGTTAAGTTACTCTTCATGGTTTGAATTAGAATACACATCTTTAATTCTTTAAGCACTTTCTGATACACTGTTATTTTCCTGATATTATGGGGTTGTTGAAGCAGTTTTAGGGGAGGGTCTAAAGACAATACTTATCACAATGGAGCAAATGTGAATTTGACATTGTTGATGAGAATCTCAGAGTTACACAACCATTTTACCCTCCAAGCCTCCTACTTCTTCCACTCAGACGACCACTCCCACTCTGAGAGGATTTACCTACCCCACCAAAATAATGCTTCCCCAAATATGCAACATGAAAAATGTTTTCTCCTCCTCATTTTGACACGTTTATCTCGCTCAAAACAAACAGTGTACTTGTCGTGACCCATGCACGAGCATGCAAGGCTGTGGGACATGTCAGATATGTATTATATATATATACGGCGACAGCCATTTGTGAAATGTGATGCTGCAACCATTTTCAATCAAATCAAATTGAAATAGCTTTTGTGATGCTGGCCCTCGTATGGTATTTTAGTGAACTGAGGTACTGTGACAGTATTGACAGGAAATATTGGATATAACTGTAAATATAATACCGTAGGACTTTGTGACGGGCTCTGGTATCTTTTATTATTATTTGTAATAACTTATTTTTACACTTAGAGTAGATCCAATCATTGTTTGTTCTATGTGTGTCATATTGTTTTTCAGTGTGCTGTTGGCCATCAGTTTGCTTTAAGTGGTGACCCCCAACCGAAACAGTCATGGTATTCATATGATTGTATTATTATCAGTCAAGTTAATAAGTGACACATTCATTAAACTGGCCAGATCTCAGGTTTCTTTTTTTTTTTCTTTAAAAAAATGTAAAAATATAAATGTATGAATTGAAAATTTTATTTTTTTGAACACTGCAATGAACCTGTGATCTTATTGGCTTTATTCTGTTTTAACCAGTCTGGCAGCTGACGGAGAACACTGACACTAGGAGGCCTGTGGACTTCCTAAAGAAGGCCCTAGAGTACCCTCTAGTGGTCAAGGCTGGAAGCAACAACTTAGTGGCCCGTTTGAAGTCTTCTATTTTTCTGTGAAATCTTTACTTTGATTTGACTGATCCAGCGTATGAATGTTCAGGAGAATAGCTGGTTCTGTTGAACAGAGTGTCTGTTTCTTTAAAGAAAACACTTTTGAGTGTTATTGTTTATATTGATTCTGTATAGATTTTAGATGTGCTTGTATCAAAAAGTCCACTAAGTTAAGTTAAATTAGGGGTTGATTTAAATTTGATGGACACAGTATGGTTGTTCAGTGCGAGTATGGCCATACACGCAGATATCCTCTAAAAATCGTTATTAATTTAGAGGTTTCTCCATCTGAGGTCTCCCAGTCAGACATGAACATGCTGGCATATTTCTTAGATTTCTAAAAAATGATTTCCCATTAAATTCAAACTGAATACTAGTCTAATTGATTCTCAGAACCTGTAATAATTCCTTATCTAATCTTTTTAAAAGAAAAAAGGTTTATGAAGTTTCTCTGCATAATCAAGTGGCTTTAAAGTCGTTGGGCTGCATGGTTGAAGGAGGGTTCAGGTAGTCTATATATCTATTGGTCTCACTGTTACAGTCAGTCACATTGGTTTCTGTGGTTTACTCCAATTAGTAGGAGCTTTGTGGATCTGGGTGAAATATAAAACAATCTGGCTCTGTGGCCTCCAGGATGAGACGCTGCTCAACAACAGGATTACAGCCGACAGAACGAGAATCATACGGCTGAACTGGAGAAAAAAATCAATAACACTTTCCCTGATTAAACTTTACATCTTACGCTCAATTATAGTTGAAAAAATGGGAGCAAATTAAGTGAAGGCCCACCATGTGAGTGGATTTGACTCCAGTGGGAGGCTCTGTACTGCCTTATAACGCTGCACCCTTCCCCCACCACTTCACACCACTGCTCCGCTAACTGTCCCACTGGAAGTGAGTTTCCAAGCAGTTCTGTGATTGTTACTCTTCTGGCTGAAGGATCACTGCTGCTGGATGCCATTTCGGACTGAGATTTAAAATGTGGGTCAGGTGCAGTGCTCACATGATGAAGTGCCGAATCAGTGTCGGGTATCTTTAGCTGAAGTCAGATGCAGCGGTAGATCATCCAGCTTGTGTGAAGGAAGCTGGATCACCTCTTGTTTTTCCTTCAGCACCGCTGCAGCAGTAGTGCTACGATGGGAAAGAGCGACCACTTTTCTCTCTCGGCCTAAAAGCTGTGACATCAGGTCTGCACCTATCCCACTGTATGTATGTGCAAGACATCTGTTTAGACATGTCCTTAGATACTTTACACTTTCATCAGCAGAGGAATCATTGGGAGAAAAGTCTGTGTGCGTTTGATCTGAAGACACCGTCGCACCCTAATTACAGCGTCCAAGTGTAAAAAACGTCAGCTTGACATTAAAACCTGTCTAACCTGTGGCAGAGGCCCAATCAGCATCAGGATAACCTAACAGCAGATGAGACTAGTGGCTGTTGAGTACATGCCTGTTCAGAATGTTCGGCCTGTGGTGTGGCTGCTTGCAGCTCTCTGGAGAACTGCTCATACAAACAACTTCAGACTCAACAGTGCGCTGCCTTTGGTCCTCAGCAGCAACCAGTGTTATTAATTTCTAAATAGGCATATGCAGCTTGCTTTGACATAACCACTGTGGTTATAAAGCAGAGCATGGATTACATTGTTGCAGCTAAATTAGTGTGGCAAAAACGTGCTAAGTGTGAGGTGCAACAGCAGAGTGACACTAGGCTAGGCTACCTGCTTGTTCTCGTTGACTCCAGGGAAGAGAAGAAAATTTTGGTTGCTACCCAGCATGCATGTAGCGTTAGCAGGATAAATCCAACATCCAGCAGCGAACTGCAGTCGATGGGCGACATGCCGGACTGCAGAGCCCTGAAGCTCCGCCCCCGCTGTTACACAGAGCGCTGTGTGCTGGTTTACTCAGAGTTTATTAATATTGAACGCGCCGCGTGTCGAAACAGCACCAAATTCAACAAAGCTCTCCATGTGCTCCCCCAGCAAAAAACACCCACCAGGTGTGAAGTCGATCATATGAGTGGTTTATTAAGATATTCCAAGAACACGCAGGTTGCACAACGGAACGCAGATTGTAGTCCCATTTTACAAAGCAAAACAAAAACACACACAGACACAAAAAAGTCATATATGGAAGGTGGAGGATGAGTTAAGGAGTCTCACAGTGGAGGAAAGAAGCTGTTCTGAAGTCTGGTGGTTCGGCGGCTGACACTTCTGTATCTCTTTCCAGACGGCAGCAGGCTGAACAGATTGTAGCTGGGTGGGTTTTGTCTTTTAATATCTTTTGAGCTCTTCACAGGCTCCTCTTCTCACCAATATTACTGATGCTCATTAGATGGGTACCAATAATATCGATATGCTGCTTTAGGCCTAGACTGCCGGGGGACTTCCTAGGATACACTGAGCTCCTCTCTCCTCTTTTGTATCTGCTGTATGAATTCATGTCCCATCAATGCACATTACTAATTGCTTCTTCCCCGGAGTCTTTGTGCTTTCTCGACTCACAGGCTTCCATGGATCGTTGTTATATCTGGACTCTGGTCCTGCCTCCTGCCGTGGTCCTGCCTGACACCCACTGCTACTATCATTATTATTAATAGTAGTCGCAGTGCTTGCTGTTGCTGATACCGTTACTGCTTTTCTTATCACTCGAGCAGAGACATTCTGCGCTTGCAAAAGTAATACATGTGCGCGGCTGTTTGATTTGCACGCATGGGAACTCATTTGCGCTCTTGACAGTGATTTGCCTTCATACCCTTCCAAAACCAACTTAAAGGAACAGTGTGTCAGATTGAGTGGTGAGTTGCAACCAACTAAACCCCCCTCCTCTCCCCCTCCCTTTCCAAGCATGGAGATAACTTTAGTGGTGTTCAGGTGGAGAGGTATCTTGAGGATTGTATTACTACTCAGAGCTACTCTTATCAATACTTAAAAAAAAAAAAACATATCATTTTTAAAATGTATAAATATATAACAGAAATATATAAATTCTGAACGGAATTTGTATTTATTTTTCAAATACAAATAAATAATGTTTCCAAAGCATGAACAATAATGTTTACAACAGCAACACATCAATAGATTAAATAGCATTCCAGAGTGAAGTTTCTCCATGATAATAATCAATAATGAAGAACATATATATCAATTAGTATCAGTCATTTCTCCTGTCCTCTTGTCCTCTGTTCTCCTGGCTGCTAGCCAGCAGAGAAGAACAAAACCAAGAGAAACAGTCAGACTACAGACCCTCCACCCCCCCATCCACTAGATGTCCCTGTTGCTGTGCATGTGTGTGTCTGTTGCAGGTGCTAAATGGAGTGTCATTAGTTGTATTAGGCACACCTGAGCCGGTGTGTGCGCTCTGCTCATAATCCTCTGGTTTGCGTTGGAATTCTGTTACTTTGTACACACTGCCACACATCCATACATGCACTTCACTCTTGATAACTGATTCCTACATGTTGCATTCTTTACTTATCTTTGTTGAAATAAATTGCTTTGTCCTCGCAGCCAGCTCGTTTGTCTCCCGGTTTTGTTGCAGCTTCTGAGCCGGGGCTGTGACAATATATACTAAATCATTTGAGTCATCTGATCCTTGTTGATGTATGAATATTTAATAGTGGAGCTTTAATGACACTGTGGCATTATTGATTTACATTCACAGTTGTATGTTACCTTCTACTCAGATAGAGACTGGGCACTACTCTGTTACTATGATACCAGTGTGTCTGCAGTCTAAACACAAGCAATCACATGCACCGATATCAAGGATATTATTTCATTAGAGAATGCTGAAATCAGTCTCTGACCACATCCCCCCCCCCTGACTAGCCCTCTCCTCTTCTGTGTTCCCTCATGTTGTAATTATCTTACTGTCTGCTGTAAAGACCGGAGTACTTCCTCCGCTGCCCGGGCACAATCATCAGCCATTCTGCACTTCATTATTCATAGGACATCTTGTCCTTGTTGAACTTGGGAAAAGAGGTAATCTTTTCTCTGACACTTTTTGATCACGGTTGATTGAAGTGGAGTGGCCTGTAACAAAATGGGCACATAACGTAGGGGAGTGCATGTTGTCCATTAGCTTTTCCACCCATGTCACGCTTAACATGTCACGGGTGAAAATATCATAGTTTGTACAGAGGTGTAGCTCTGAATATTGATGAATCACTCAACTACAAGTTTTAATTTCTCCCTATTTAGTAGTTTACTGCCACTACATTTTGATTGATCAATCATGAAATCAACAGTCTGTAATTAGTATTTCGTATTAGAGTTATGTTCTCATGGCTTCATTGTGCGTTGGTCAGCCGGGCTTGTTTGCTGCTCCGCAAATGTTATCCTCTGTGTGCCAGCATAGAAAGTATTCAAAATCTACGTGACATTCATCTCACAAAGATAAATATTTCGCATTAAATCAAGAAATACTTGCAACCGCTGCCTTTTTTGAAAATAAACGACAACATAAACCCGTCTGGAATGCCGGGGTGCTGATTTCCGCCTTTTTCATTCTGTCAACATCCCATTATTAACATTTAGAAAATAGATTTTTGACATTTGTGTATCAATTCAGAATTGTAAAAGATAAGAATCGTGGCCGTGACCAAAGAATTTAAATTCTTATGTAAATACATTTTTTCCAACCACCCCTATTTTACATCCTGGGACTTTATGGGGTATTTCATGAATGGATGGGATTAATGTATGTTTACACCACCATCTTCCAGCCGCGTTGCATTTCAGCAGCAAGTAGAATTACCTTAACACCTCAGAAAGAGTTTCTGGAGTCTACAAGAGAGACATGGTTATTTTTTAACTGGAGTCAAATGGATAGTTCACGTCAAAAAGAAATTATGTTTAGATACGGACATGACCAGTCCAACATATGCTAAAAGGTCAACTATGGATGCTTATATCTTTTCAAGGGGGAAGCAAATCAAACACTAGAAGGCACTTAGGCACTAAACACCCCAAAGTGCTTCTACAACAGGTCACACCAGACCTGACCGCTGAACTGGCGTGATCTCGTAAGTAAGACTTAACAATGGCGGAGGAGAGAGAAGAGGATCAAGATGGCGGATCTGGTCTCGTATGTGATCACGCTGCGCAAAACTACAAAAATGGCGGCAAATTCGTGATTATTTAATGGAGGAATGAGGCACACGATAGAGGCCACGCTTACACGACAAGTGCGCCTAAAAATTTGCATAACAGCACAGCCTATATGTGTGTATGAGTGTGTTTATGTGTGTGGGTTAGTTTGAACAATAAGGAGAAGGAAAACACCTAAAACAAGGCAGATCCTCACCGCAGCGGTAAAATACAGCAACTGTTACTTTATCACATAGAAACCCGACTGGCGAACTCAGATTTGGCAGCTGCGGCACTGGAGCTTCACTGGTTCGGTCAGCTGCACGGCGATAAAATTTGTTCCTCCTACAACGAGAGAGCGAGGCGTAGAAGTTATCATTCTCTTCCTCATATGAATACGGGGATTTCGTGAATCTTCCTTCTGCAGGGTAAACTGGCAGAGCACGCAGGTTATCCATTTTCTCCTTTAGGATACAAAAACAGTTTATTGTTCAACCAGTGAATGTAGAACTATTCTTAGGGTTATCTTAAAAGCGACAACGTTGTTCAGTGCCACCTTCCATACGAATTCAATCGCGTGGGATGGCTCAGGGCTTTAGGTAGCGCTGATGTTTATAGTCTCAGTGACGTCATGGCCGTATCGCAGGGATCCCCGTGGTGCTTATGGCCCTCATCCAATGAGACCCCAGTGTTGGGTTTGGACCAACTCTCACACAGAGGTGAGATTTTAACGTCTGATTGGGTTTGGTGTGGTTTAACCCAAATCAGGCTGTTGAAATGCCAGGTAGGCCCCATTCCTGTTTCAACCACATGGTGAAGTCCCAACAAGGAAGATACCTTAGGGAGAGCAACAGAGGAGGGATCCCTCTATCAGGATGGACAGAAGTGCAATAGATGTTGTGTGCACAGAATGAACAACATATTAGAGTTACTGTAGTATTGTTATGGCCTGGCTCTAGAACCATAGCAAATGTCATGAAAACCCAGGCAAGGAGCTAACCAAACAAATACTTTTAATAAACAAAAGGCCAGGACATTTCAAAGTGCAACAAAAATGAGCAATCTCGTAATGAATGCCAGAAGGATCAACTGCTGCCACACACTCCTTGCAGCACACCAGGTGTGTCAGAGGGGAAGAAGCTAGCCCTCCCTCCGGATGGGGTGGGTCTTGTAGGGCGATTGTGGCTAAGTGGATAGCAGGGCCGTCTTTCAAAGCGTTGGCGGTTCAAACCCGGCTCCGGCTCCGCTAGTCGCATGTCGATGACATGCAAGACACTTAACCCCAAAATTGCTCCCGTAGCTGTGCCTACGGTGTAGAAATGTGATAGACTCTGAATTGTAAGTTGCTTTGGATAAAAGCGTCTGCTAAATGACTGTAGTGTAATAAACCTAAACCAGCCCTAACTATAAACCTGTCAGCCCTAACTATAAACCTGAGCCGAGCCCTAACTATAAACCTGAGCCGAGCCCTAACTATAAACCTGAGCCAGCCCTAACTATAAACCTAAACACTATAAACCAGCCCTAACATATTGAAGGGCTGGATGTGTCCATGTTGAATAGCTAAGCTAATTCAAAATAACAACCCTGCCATAGAGACTGTATAAAACGTTGGACAAGCTTTACGAAACACTTTAGTGGTGATTTATCTATGTCCCTTATTGGACCTCAAGGAATGAGCTATGTTGGGACACCAACAGGTAAACGGTACCCGGCTCAGATTTACAAATCCCTCAGTGGCTGTAAAAGCTGCACTGCTAGGCCAATATGGCACTTTAAATACTGCCGTGGCCCCAACTAAAAAGTTTTTAAGCTCTTTGTGTGAGGCATGTTATTCAGTTATACCAGTGGAAAAGAAAGAAAAAGCACAACAAGAGCGAGTGTTTTTCTTCTTCTTCAGAGAAAAGACATTTAACACAACACACAATGAGAATGAGCCATCTGCTGCATCAGATGTAACAGAAAACAAGTCAAAACTTTAACAAGTTTCGAGGATTGCACATATTGATGCAAAACTAATCAAAGCACATAATCAAACTGCTTTTATTAAATCACTGATCTTTTTATTTACCGATAAAAATATACACCAGGGAAAATACGCTGCATTTCGTCCATCTTCTTGATTATTCGTCAGTCAACTTATTCATTCATTTCCACTCTGAAAAGTTCTGAAAAGGTACAGTACTTCCATTGATCTTAATCCACTGAAATACAAATATTCATATGTTCACAGAAGTCAGCAAGGTTGCCAAGACAGTGAGAGAATGAAATGGGGGGGGGGGGGGGGGGGGGG